ATGCAAAATTTAAAAAATATCTGACGAAAATGATTTTACGCGACTAATACCTTAATTCAGTTCATTTTACTAAAAAATATATAGTTAAATCAACTACAAAAACTGAAACATCTACAAAATCTCATTGTACCAACTACATTCTTAGTTCTTTTAAGGGGAGATATATAACGATGATTTTGAAGTTTTTTTCAAAGTTTTTTTTTTATAGTAAAAAAACTAAAATGTTTCTTAATCTGTACTATTTTGACTATCGTGTAAACTATATAGAATCAGAAATATTTATTGAAAAAAAAACAAATGACAGACTTTTGAATTTTTCGACAAAAATTTTGCAACTTAAATTTTTTATAACTTTTTAAAATATTAATGGATTTTAAAAATTCTAGTTTACACGAAAACTACAAATTCAAGGAACATACTGTCCAAATTTAAAATTAATTGTTTAAATAGTTTTAAAATAAAAGTGTGACAAACTTTTAGAGTGTACCACTTGTAGTCTCTATTATACTAGTTTTTTTTCAGTGTAATTATATTATTATTATTAGATACTGTGTTCTACTGTTTATAATTTCTAATTAATTATAATTCATATAAAATAATAATTATGTATTAAAATATAAATGAAAATTACAATACAATTTCGAAACTGTGAAAATTTGTATGTATACTAACATATTTTTGCGGTATATTCATGAATCTGAAAATAAATATTTATAAAACAATAATAACAATAATACACTGAAAAAAAACTAGTAGATTTGACTACTTTTTAACTACACTGCCTAGTAGAATAAGTCCTCAATTGAATTTAAAAACTTATATTAAGTATATAAAAAAGTAGTTAAAATAACTATAGAAATGTAGTTGGCAGAATGAGATTTTGTATACTTGTTTCAGTTTTAGTAGTTGATTTAAATTTATTTTTTAGTGAATTGAACTGCTAATTATTAACTCCATAAAAAGTAGTTCAATTAATTACACACACAAAATTAAACTAACTAAAAGAGTAGTTACTTTAACTACTTTCGAGTCAACTATCCAACAGTAGTTGAAAATCTCAGCTAAATTTTTTTCAGTGTACAATACTCTCTAAATCTGAATTAGTAAAAATGTTTACTAATTTGAATTAGTGACTCACTTTTTGCTTCTGAATTAGTAAAATTTTACTAATTATTAGTAAATTTTACTAACAATTAATAAAATTTTAATTATTTAGAAGCAAAAAGTGAGTCACTAATTCAAATTAGTAAACATTTTTACTAATTTAGATTTAGAGAGTACGAGTAATAATAATAATAATATAATAGAATTTATATAAGCTTTAACAAAATGTATATTGTATCGTTATTTTCCGTCTGACTAAATATTGACCGGAACCACTTAATTATGCAAATCGATCTTGTGCAATGTTTCGATATCAATATATAATGATTCAAAGAATAATGAAGAACTTGTTAACAATTTTGTTTGTTACTGGCCCTTATATCGAGAAGCGAAATATCCTGTGGTTTTTCTTTTGGTCTATTCTAATGAGATTTAGGTATAAGCGGATTGACTTGAAACTGGAAATTCAAAGTATATTCCCCTTTCGTTTTCCCCCACGGGACCTGCTGTCATTTTTTCTGATACTGACAGCTTTTCCATCGGATTAGTAAAATCCTAAAATATATTTCACAACCTCAAACAATGTTGGAAAAAATATATATGCATATACAATATGTAAATATATTTCTTTAATTATATATATATATATATATATATATATATATAATTATTTATATTTTTGTATAAAGTACACTTACTATCATTTTAGATCTTATATATATATAACTTGAGAATCCAATTTATGAAACGCAGAAATATACAATAAATAATATCAGTGATGCAATATATATGTATATAGGTATATACAGGGTGTTCAAAAAGTATGGAAACTTGCAAATATCTCGAAATACGTATTTTCATGATTCTTCTTTTTTCACTTTTGGTTCGGGTTCAATATGTTTTGGGTTCAAAAATGTAGATCTTTTTGTTGGGAACAACTTTTGTTTTAAACAATTTTCACGAAAATGCTTACTTTTCGGGATATTTGCAAGTTTCCACACTTTTGAACACCCTATACATATCCTATATATATATATATATATATATATATATATATATATATATATATATATATATATATATATATATATATATATAGAGAGAGAGAGAGAGAGAGAGAGAGAGAGAGAGAGAGAGAGAGAGAGAGAGAGAGAGAGAGAGAGAGAGAGAGAGAGAGAGAGAGAGATATCCCTCTGATCATTTAATTATAATTGATAATGTAACCATTACATAAATATCAAATGAATAGGATGTTTTACAAGACTACTGTCAATAATGTTATCTGCCAGTATTACCGAAGAATCTTTACAGAGATTCATAGATATAACAAAAATTGAGATATGCATTGTATACATGATATATGTATATGTATATGCAAAGATAACTGTAAATACGTTAATTTTCCCATGACAATATTCCATTTATGATGAATGTTTTTTTTAACAGAAAATAATGGAAAATTTATTAAGCGCAAAATGAATGAATGACCAAAAATGCATCAAAACCAGTTCAACAAATTTTTATGAAACTTGGGCAATAATTGTTTTTGGGGTCGCTGATCACGAATATGACATTTAGTTTTCTAAAATTCAAAATGACGGATCAGATCGATTTAAAAAAATGTCCGCCATATTGGATCTGCCATTTTGAATTTTAGAAAACTAATGACAGATTCGTATTCGTATACCATTGCGTGCGCCTATTGAGCTGGGTACATTTAAAAAAAGAAAGAGAATTTTTTATGTAAAACTCTTTCTAATATACATTATTTTATATAGCTCTTATTAGTTGCCTCACCTGGGTCCCTCGGACCCAGACAACTTTTCTTTTCATGTACTTCAACATATTCGCTTGAAAATTGTTACTCAGGGGTTTTTGAGGTCGCTGATTACACTAAAAGACTTTTTGTTACAAAAATTAATATTGTAATTTTATTTCAAAATGAGAAAAACTGTGTTTTTGTACTATAAGTTTCTAACCAAATAATACCAAAAATTTGTATGCTCCATACTAATTTTTAGTTTTTTCTAGTCAGAAACTATAGTATATCGTTCATGCGACTAAGTATATAGTACAAAAACATAAAGTTTTCCTCATTTTGAAACAAACTATATATTAATTTTTGAAACAAAAAATCTTTCAGTCTACGAATCCGGTGTCCGTTTTTCAAAATTCAAAATGTCGGATTCAATATGGTTGACGACTTTTGAAAAAGCTTAACGTGTATCTTGTTTTTTATTGAATTTAAGCATAGCTCATCATGCACTTACATTAAAAAATGAATTCAGGCACGTGAGGGTTATTAATATTGCATGGCAATATTTAGAGGTAAAATATGACCAAAAAAAATACTCGTGCCTGGTTTCTAGGGGTGAAAACAACCTCCAAATGAAAAGTGCGACAAGATATCTTTTAAATAAATTATTAATATTTTATAAAACTTATTGGTATCTGGGGGTTTTCGGGGTCGTTGATTATTAATCTAATGTCAGATTTTCAAAATTCAAAATGGCGGATCCAATATGGCGGACGAAAAAATTAAAAAAGTTATTAATTTTTTATTTTATATCCGCCATTTTGAATTTTGAAAATTTGACATCAGCGACCCGAAAAACTCCTAGATACCATATATAAGTTTCATAAAAAATTAATAACTTTTCAAAAATTTGATCGCCTTATTGGATCCGTCATTTTGAATTTTAAAAATCTGACATCAGATTAATAATCAGCAACCCCAAAAAACCCCCAGATAACATAAGTTTTATAAAATATTAATAATTTTTAAAAGATATCTTGTCTCTTTTCATTTAGGGGTTGTTTTCACCTCTAAAAACCACAAACGACTTGATCTACACGGAGAAAAATGGAAAAACGAATAAAGTAACTTTTACTATACTTTAAAAGTAAAACCGTAACTGTCCGTAGTTTCTGCGCATTTCTGGCAATTTTTACTCCAGAAATAGTAAAATTTACTATTCCGTGAATAATTTTTACTATTTTAAGAGTAAATTTTACTATTTTTGGAGTAAACTTTACTGATTCTGTAGTAAAAATTGCCAGAAATGCGCAGAAACTACGGACAGTTTCGGTTTTACTTTTAAAGTAGTAAAAGTTACTTTATTCGTTTTTCCATTTTTCTCCGTGTAGCAAAACAGCGAGACACGCGGGTATTTTTTTTGGTCCTATAGTTTCCGAAAATGTTGGATTTTTTTGTGGGTCAAAAATCGTGTCGGACGGTGTAATATATTGGACATAATCGCAATATTGCCAGGCAACATTCGCAATGTTGTTTAGCCATATATGTTGTGCTATTTGAGTGGATAATAATAATAAGCGCAAAAAGTAAATAAAATCCGCAAATTTGTTAATAAACTTTCATTTTTCTTTTTCTGATATATATGAATACACTCCCCAAGATTTTGACACGTCGATCAGCAATTTCTCACAAGGTGGCATGAGGTCGAGGTTCGGATATTAATAACGCAGCTTCATCCATCTAATTCTAGCTGAGAGTATATTCTCTCACTCTCTCTCTCTCTCGGTTTATATACTTGGAAGCCATCAATCCGAATGGACAACTAGGGCCCAATAACCAGAATTGCCAATCAATTCGCGCATTGCGCGCCCGGGAATTAGACAATTAGGAGTCGTCACGTTCTATCCCATACCTCTCTCTCCGGTTGCCGTGTCAGTTCTCTCTCTCTGTCTCTATCCTCGCCAAACAGGGTTTCTCTGTCAGTTCAACTTGGCGCTGGAATCGCTTTGGCGAAAGGGGAAGCAAGCATACTTACGGAAGTTTCAATTTCCCGCGCGTCCGATTGGTCGACATAGATCAACTGACACGCCCCTCACTAAAGTACACGTTAGTCGCGCAAACGTATTCGTATTGGTCCGCATTCAGCGCTTACTGGATCTCCGGCTTTTGCGGGGGCGGTGCAGCATCAGCAACACCGATGCTTGGGCTTTCCGCTCCCGGAGCAGGGACCTGGTAATCAGTGCCGTTTCCGCGGCAGTAGTGGCTACCACGCGATTTTACATAACCCTTTTGACCCAAAAAATTGTTGTTTTTTTTTTCTTTGGGTTTCATTTCTTGTTGAAGATTATTCGTCCTTTTTTTCTTCCTTTTTCTCTTTATTATTTAGTGATTCATTATGTGTGATCAAAACCCAATTGGATTAGAAGTGACATAGATATATATATATATACATATATATATTCTCAACCTGATAAATTAGGAAGGGAAAAAATGATGATTTTAAAAAATTTACGAGGGCAATTAGATATTAGCTAAAAGAAATTATTGGATTGGAGATAATTCAAATTATTGATAATTATAATGATTTTTAATTGTCATGCAATTAACGGGATTTTTAATCATATGATTCAAATATCAAGAGTTAGGACTGTGTGTTTTGTCATGTGACGTATTTTTTAGTATATTATATAATACATATATAGTGAATGTTTTGCAGTGTAAAATAGGAATGAGACGATTTTGGAGTCTCGGATTAAATTGTCAAGAGTCTTGATATAGTGATTATATATTTGGGAAAAGAAAAAACGTGAGCCGATGGACTTCAGCAAAGGTGACCGGCAGGTATGAGTAGAGAAGGAACTGTTATGCAGGAGCCAGAGGCCTATGAGGATATGGATATGGCTACCGCAACATCAGCATCATCCACCTTAAAACCCCGAAGTGGGAAAATAAGTTTTAGCGTTGATTCGCTATTGAGCAGTACGAAAAAGTCGCCGACGGCCACTGCATTTGGCCGAAGGGATTCAGAGTCGGAGCGACTTGTCGAGGTGGATAAAAATAATTTTGAAATGGAAGCAAGGTATCGTGAATTACTCATTGAGCAACAACGTTTACAAAGTCGTGAACTTTTGGCACGATTAAGTCCACATGGTATACAGGCGTTTGGTCATCATCAAAGGACAACATCATTGTCCGATCATCGGCAGGAGATGCTTACTGTTAAGGATTTTTCCAGGACCAATCATGATAAATCCTCATCGCCAATTAGAATTGAATTGGAGCAAAGGGACCAGGATGATGGAAGTGGTTGTGTCTCGCCGGATAGACTCAATGAACTTAGTAGGCGAAGTGAACGTGGTCATGATGATGATAGGGTTTTGAATCGATCTGTGTCGCCAATTCGTAGGGAATTTGACGATAGAAGTGATTCGGACGCGAATCGATCTCTCGAGGGTGATAGAACGACGGATCATCTCGATGAGGAGCACGAGATGAGAAGTGTGGGTCAATCGGAGGATTTGAATGTGATGGATTCGGATTGTGAACTTGAGAGGGACTTAGAATTGGGAAGTCAGGAAAAGGAGAAATCAAGCCCGGTAGTTCCCCAACCAATACACCCCGGGGTGCAAAGGTCTTCGGGGCCTTACCTTGGACACTCGGGGGGTCCTGGGTGGAATCCCGCAGGATTTCCTCATTCACTTGCAGGATTCGCGTGGCTACCCCCACCCCCGCATACGCATAATCATCATGGACACCTTTATACACCACATGGAGGACCAACGAGTCCAAACGGTGAGTTTTTCTTATTTCCTCTTGTTGTTCTATTGATCAATAGAGCAATTGCTATTTCGGATGATCATTTCTATTTTTGTTTATCAGTAGTTGATGATGATCACCCTATAGTCTTAACTGATCAATATTGTTTTTCTAATCAGCCTCGTTGATTTTTCATCCTTTTTTTACTGTTGATCCTGATGATCCAATAGTGGATCTCACCCTATAGTCTTCACTGTATATTCTTTTCACTTTGCGCAGTCTATTAATGAAATTTTCTCATCAATATCCAATTTTGGATCTCGTTAATCAACCTTTCTGATTTTCTGAAGAATCTTACATTTTTTAAATATATATTTTATATCATATACAGAAATTTTTTTACACGCACAAAAATTATAAAAATCATCAACAAGATATATGGTACACTGGAAAAAAAACTAGTAGATTTGACTACTTTTTAACTATACTCTGCCTAGAACAATAGGTCCTCAATTAAATTTAAAAAGTTGTATTAACTATAAAAAAGTAGTTAAAATAACTAAGAATGTAGTTGTCAGAACGAGATTTTGTAGTTGTTTCAGTTTTAGTAGTTGATTCAACTACATTTTTTAGTAAACTGAACTGCTAATTATTAACTATACATAAAAAGTAGTTCAATTAATTACACACACAAAATTAAAATAACTAAAAAAGTATAGTTACTATTTAACTACTTTCCAGTCAACTATCCAACAGTAGTTGAAGATCTCAGCTAAATTTTTTTCAGTGTAATAAATAGTTCTACTAACTTTCGTTTATTAAGTGCGTGCAAACAAATTAATTTTTCATTCGAAAAACAAATATATTATCTCGTTTCAATAAATTGAACATCCATTAAAATTTACAGTAATTGTATAAAATAATTTTCAAGCTTTAGAAAGTTATATATATATATATATATATATATATATATATATACCAACAAATTATACGTCTTTGAATAATTCATCATAACCGGGAAAGTATATATATATAAGAAAGTAGGAAATTCAGTAGTCGAAAATTCTTATGGTCAGCCAGATTAAATGTTTGGCATATATACGATGTTTGAATAATAATTGGACATTTTACGAATTCTTGATTATGGATAAAAAGACAACTATAACATATTTTTCTTTTGGTTTGCGCGCCTATACATTTTGTAAGCGAAAAAAACAATTTATCGGACACAATAAAGCGATTGACATATGGTCCATATATGATAGTGGCATGTATCAAAACACAGACAGTTTATATATATGTATATATTTTCGCATCGTGTATATTTGTACATCCAATTTAATTATGAATATGAAACCAATTATGCGCACTATCATTGTTGGCGACATATTTGCTTATCTCAATGACACTAAACTAATGATCAATTATACTAATAATCTATTCTTTATCGTATTTTTATAATAAATTTAAAAATTTTAATTTTACAAATACAATTCTATCATATCTATAATTGTGGATTGTATAATTATTATTTTTCTACAATTACGCGGCAAGAAAAAAATTATTATTTATATACAAAGATCTCAATACATAAACACGCACGTTCTTTGATTTATATATAAAATTTATTCATTGTTTATTAATTGGAACAAGAGTGTTGCAAAGCAGAACAACTGCATTTGTTTATAGCTCCTATATAGAGCAACTTTGTGGTTGAGATCACCAACTGAGAAATGCACATAATATGAGTAAATGCTGTCATTTATCTTATTCAAACTTATTTTTATCTAATTAAAACTGATGCAACTTTGATGATTTGCATCCTGGATTCATCTTGCGGAAGGTTGTTTTATAATTAACTGTGGTTTAATTTTGAAATTATCGGTCATTAAAAATATTTTGACATATATATATGATTGCGCAGAGAAAGGTGTTTTAATTTATTTATAAATTGTAATAATTTTATTTTTATAATATAATAATATTGGTATATACACTAAAAAAAATTTGTTTTATTCAAATAATTGGTTACTTGACTATATATTATATATCAAATAAATATTTCGACTCTATTTCGTCAATTTATTTGTATTAAAAATAAATATTATTTGAGTCAATTTAAATGATATTTGTTTTAAATACAGAAATTATTGGTTCAAATACAATTTATTTAATTCAAATAAAAGTTGTTTGGTTCAAATAAATATTTATTTGATGATAGTCAAAATAACCGAGTATTATATTGAATCAAATTAATTTTTTTAAAAGTCTATAATATTGTTATTTTTATAAATCTTTTATTGACATTTATAGTTTAACTATACTATATTATTTTTTACTAATAACCAACATGAATAAATATTAATTTTAATTAATTAAAATATCGGATGTGAGGCAGGTTGCGTAACACTATAGTTTTTCTTCTTATGGTTCTCCTAGATTAAATTTTATTTAATAATTAATACTATAATCCCAATCCTAACTTTTTTGATTTAAAAATTTTTGGTTAATTAACCGTAATTAAAATATTTTTCAAAAACTTTATACATTGTTTGTATTATATATATGTATTTATCATATTCTGTAAGAAGAAATTAACCCTTTCGTAAATTAAAAATTAATTAATAATTTGCATCCTTTATTTAATTTTAATTACAATTTTTTGATTAAAACTAAAATTTTCTCATAAATTTAAAGCAAAGAAATCACTAAAATATAATAAATAGAATATATATATATATAGGAAAAAAATTTAAATTTTCACAAAATAGGAACAATTATTTACTATAGTGTATTGGGCTATTTTTAATCGACATCACATACTGTATGGTTAATGATTATAGCCAGTAAAATTAGTCTAGTCAAGAAACCGCAGATAAATTTACGACTAGGTAATCAATCGTCTGTAATGCAGCGTGCTAACTCCTAATTATTTTAATCTATAGCAGCGCGCAAATTTCAACAAATTATTCACTTATTCATATATAATAAAGTGTTGTGAGAGTTTAATGAACTTTAACGATATAATGAAAATTGCATATATTGGACGCAAAAATTTTTATCATCAATTTTGCATTCTATATCAAAAATTTCCCTTAATATACTAATCATATGATAAAATATATATAAAATATATACATTCGGGGGCAGTATATTCTTTATATTATTGAATTTTATGAATTGACAATTTTAAATTAGCTCGTCCAAGTTTTATTTAATTCAATCGAGTATATAGAAAGACGGATAGACATTTTTTATATTCTTTATTATAATTGAAAAAAATGAAAAAAATATATATAAAAATTTCAAAGTCTCGTATATAAAAAAGAGAAGATTCTATTATTTATATGTATATAAATATATATTAATTATAGTTAAGGATTTTTCTATACTTGATGATTTTCCTAGACAAACGTTCGAAGTCACGCGCGCGCAATGGTAGCCATGTTTGCACTAAGCGAGGTATCTGACCAGTCAGACTCGTTTCGAGGAAGCCCTAACGAGTGACACTTGCGGCACCTGCGGACACGAAAATAAGGACATTGTCGAGCTGCACTAGGTTCCAATCTATATAGCAACACATATATGCGTTTCTATTCGTCGAATCTCTAAACATTTTATCCAACATATCCCATTATCGTCCTTTAATCAATCATTCGTGCGTGTTTAGCTGTTTTTTTACCACATGGAGAAGAATGTTTAGCCGCAATAAGAAGAGTGTCCGCGATACCGCATGTGGAGTATATATATATATATATATATATATATATGTACATGTTCAAATCGATGGATGTCAATTTTATTGCAATGATGACAATTATTCTTTGTTGTTTGTTACATATATCAATGTTGAAAAGAATTATATTTCTTTTCTTCTAAATTACCGTTTTTATTGCATTGATTTTTTTGTTCGTTAACACTTTAAACAATTACTTTGACGTTAATAAGACACTTGTTATAAGTACTTACAAATTCTTTAATTAGTATTATTTACTTATATAGTTATTACATTTATGTGACGCTCCAAAGAGAAGGGACCTTACTTGAAAAAAATTTTAGGTTATGTTTAGTCATAGTTTTATACCTTAATAAAAAGTTTTTTATATTTATAGTTAAAATCAACTTTTATATGATAAACGATTGAAAATAAAAATATTTTTCATACTCAAAAAATAATTAAGTTTTTATTTGCAAATGTTTTTTTTTTTATAAAAATTGTTAATTAAAAAATGTTGCAACAAATTTTTTAGATAAAAAATTATAATGCATATAAAATTTTTTTTTTCTTTTATACATCGTTTGATCATAATTATACCAACGTTAAAATCATAATTATAATTTTTATTGAATCATTTTAATATATATATGTATAATGGAGGCTTTTAAACATAAATGTTTTGTATTAAGAGATGATTCTCTGTATTTTCACTTAAAAAATCATACATATAACATTTTCACAATTTTTTAGTAATTTTTTACTAAAACTTTAGTAAAAAAAATATTACCGTAAAATGGAGTAAAGTCAGCGATTTTTTGAAGTTTTTCTTTAAAAAAAGTATGAGAAAAACATAAAATACAACTTTAATACTTTTAATTCACTCATTTTCTTTAATATTATTACATAGAAAAATTTATTTATTTTTCGAAAAAAATTTTATACGCCCTTTTATTGTCGACGACTTTTCCCTGAAATATGGGGTAAAGTCGGCGAATATTTACAAAATAGTCATTGGCAAACCAAGAATGTTAGATTAATTAAGTAAAGTCAATTTTTGGAAGTAGTGGATGTAAAAAAGTCAAAATAAACATCTAATAACGATTAAATAAATATTTAATAGTATCCCAAGTAGAAATGTGCCACTGGCATAGTACTGACCCAACACTGCCAGTCAGTATAACGGTACTGACTGCCGTACTGGGCCAGTAGTGGACCAACCCTGGCTGGTAACGCTGTCCAGTACTGATTTTGTCCCGCTCACCAGTACTAACGTAGTACTGGAATAATACTGGCATAATACTGGCAAAGTACTCATCCG